TTGAAATGAATAAGTTTGTCAAGATTAAAAAGGTTCGTTAAGTTCCGTTGGTAAAAGTTTTAAGATTTATTACATTCACTTAAAAAAAATTAATCCAACTCAAATCAGTAATGTTAAAAATCCTCTACATATATATCGAGTATTTTTGTAAACAAGCAAATAAGAAAACAGATTAAAAATTAATCTTCATATTGTAATCTCTTCTTTTTATTGACAAAATTCAAGTTAAAAGAGATCATAGTAAAGAAATGCAAAAAAAAAGAAAAAAAGAATTGTTCTTTATTTTGACAGAGGGAAATATTTATATATAATTTGAGAATTTTTTTTTTTTATCGGTTGCCCTACCTTTAAATCCGATTTGGGTCACTTTATGTAAAGCTGGCTTTGCATAGCATTTAATTCTTTCGCGACGACAACTGACAAAGGTATATAAAACTTGTGCTCTCGAGATTTCGACACTCAAAGAAGCATATGAGAGTCATTCCAATTCCTCGAGCAACTTTTTCTTTTTCTTCTTCTTTTTATCCAGGAAGAAAAGGTAATCGCCTGCGGCTCAAATTCATTCTAAATCCTCTTTGGAGAATTTGCCATCTGTATCAGGGACGTGTAGATTTTAACCTTCACCAAACACAATTGGTTTAATCGATGCCAAGATGTCTTAGCAAGGAAATATTTATTATCACACAAATTTTGCGGATTAGCATATTATAATAAAACACTTTTTGCCTACAGACAAATAAAAAAAAATACTCGCGCTTTTTTATTGTCTACTTATATGTAGTCAACATGACAATTCAATAAAATTGAAATATATTTGCAAAAAAATCGACGATCAAATAAAATTGAAAATTAATTAATTTAAAAAGAAGATATCAAATTTCAACGTCCGAGTAGAATTTATTAGAATAAATGATAAAAATAATAACATTTGGACAAATGAATTTTAATTAATGAAATATTATAATTTAAAAAATGGTAAAAAATAAAACCTAATTTTTAAGAAAGAAATTAAGAGTATTTGTTAATTTTCATAGAATCCTAAAATGCAATAATGTTGCAGTTATGCAAACTGCTGTATTAGTGGCAATTAAAATTTGTTTTCCAAGCAAATCCATCAAGTATAAAGAATAATTTCATCCGGTTTGTATTATTTTTTTTTTTGTGAATTTTGATTAAAGCCTTAATTGAACTACTTAAGAATAAAAGTTCACACATAAATTTTCATGACTCACAGTGACACTGAAATTAGACTTCCTTCTCTCATATATGCCTTCCGGCCACCCTAATAGAGTATTGAAGTTGATCCTTGAATCAACCGCAAACTCGTTTCTATACTCTTCTCTCTAATCGACTTATGGTAGGCAGGTATATCTCGTGAGTAATATCATCCCATTAACCCCGGGTCCGTTGGATGTGCGCATAAATAGAATCGTCTTTGCGAGTGAACGCGATCTTGGGCCAAAGGGGTTAATAAATGCGCGTGTGCACGGGTCAACTTCTCCGCACCACATTCTGCTTTTGTATATATATATATATTTACAATTGTGCATGAAAAAATAATCGTTTAATAAAAGTTACTATATTTAAATGATCTTTTGTATTGGAAATTAATTAACTTCATTTAAATAATTAAGGTTCTTTTTTGTCTTATTCAATTTTAATATAATTCTAGTAAATGGAAAATTTTTGGGACTTGACTTAAAGATATATACACGCATCTTTAACGTTTTGAAATCGGTATCTCCTCATTAGAAGTCTATAGTCTTTCTGTAACCTATAATTTCGATTTGTTCTAATATTTATTTGGCTTAAATTCCTATATGGGCCTGATTTCCGGTTGACATAATTCTTATTTCTCCTTAACTGTATTATATTAGGTCCCAATTCTTATTTGTCCTAATCTTTGATTGAATCTATTTCTTATTTCGCCTGATATGTGAACTAACCTTATTTGGCCTAATCTTCATTTGACCTTTAAAATCCAATTCACAGTAAAAACCTGGGTTCATTTTTGCTGCGTATCATTCTGAGTTCTGGATAGAAAATGAGTTATCGGCAAACTTCAAGTGACTCAGAATGGATTATGATTATTAAGTTGGACTAAGTAATAGGGCGCCCTCTGGTGATAAAGAAACAAAGCATTTCAAATCTAATATCAGAAATTAATTTAACATTATTGATAATTTATATAATATTAAAAATTGAAATAATGAAAAATAAAGAACATATAATAAAATAAGGTCAATAAACTTTATATTACTATTAAAAAAATATTTACTCCCACAGAAAATTAAAAGGCATTAAAATAAGCTGCAACGCTTATTATTTTAATCCAATTTTGCTTATTTTAATCCATTTTGGTATTAAAATAAGCAAAATTGGATTAAAATAATAAGCGTTGCCGCTTATTTTAATGCCTTTTAATTTTATGTGCCAATGAAAATTTAAGTTTAAAAATTAAATGAACTAGTTTGTCAAACAAGTAATAATAACAGTTATTTATTAAATTATTATAGTAAATTAAAAATAAATAAAATAATAAAATTAAAAATAAACTATACTATTTATAACGTTACTGAAAACGATTTTTAATTTCATTTTTTCATTTTTAACGTTATTATTATTTTTCTAATATCTTTGGCAGAATATGTGCTGTGCGTGTGTGCGTCAATGTTTATTTGTATATTTATTTATAAATTATGTCAAATTCATAATTAACAAAGTGTCCAACCCTGAGTGTATAAAGTGTCCAACCCTAAGTAGAAGTAACATTTTCGAATTGTGCTAACCATAACCAGACATGTTTTGCGATTCAATTTTTCACTTCATTTGTTCTTCAATCATGAACCCCATAATACATGTAATAAACTTACCTTGCCGATTTCTTGTTTTATTTATTCATTTTTTATGTTTAATCACATCGCTCACAAAACTTTTTTCTTTCCTACAAATGCACCTACATCACAGCAGACGCTACTTTTGATCCTCCAAAAATGTAATGACACAAAAAGTTAGGTTTCACAACGAGAAGTTTTGCCACGTCCGTGCATATATGGCGCTAGTGTTCTTATTATAAGAAAAGCGAAGTGTCCACCCCTGCGAGTATATTCCCCTAGTTATTTTATTTTTTTGTTTTTTATATAATATTTTTTGATTTATTTTTATTTTTTCATTGTTTTTTATTATTCATTAGTTTTTTTATATTTTATATATTTTATTTATATTTTTTCTTAAATAAATATTTTTACTACAATTTTACTTTAACAAATTTTAATATCTTTTAAATTTCGCGCCATTATCTTTGGTTTTTAGACAGTAGCGCCGTTAATTTTTTGTTTTATGTTACGCGTGAACGTTGCCACTCATACATGCCAATTCACAGTTAATAACCTAAAAATCTTCTTTACTTAATTTAATAAATACAACAAATCGGCATTTAATATTAAAGTTTTTCCAAGTTCAATGTGTTTGTTCATTAGAAACGATAATTTTAATTCATATTTTTATGAATAATTACTTATTATTTGATAATAATTGTTATTTTTTTATTTTTTATCAAAGTGATACAGGTCAGGATCATTTTGAGTAAAATAGAAATTAGTCGAATTAGGTTTATTTTTGCTGCGTCTTAAAATGATCTATAGACAACCTGATCATTTTGAACCCATGTTTTAATTGTGGCATTATATAAATTTCGAACTGAGAAAATTGATTTCAAAAAAGCAATATAATAACACACACGTGCAAAACAAGCCCAAGTATTTTACGCAAAGGTATTGGGAAAAGAAATATATGGGAAAACTCTTGAGCGAGATTCTTGGTCGATTCTCAGACATATGGAAAGAATTCTTAGGGGCCAGCGACGAGTCAATTACACGTTCCAACCGTGGTTTGCGCCTTATTAAAGTTCAAATGAGAGCACTAATTAAACCAATTTGTGACGTTTGTTAACGAGGGTCCCCAGGTGGTCTGTATTATACTCATTCTCCTTTTCCTCCAATGAACTGCATATTCCAAGCTTCGCTAATCGAGATGACCATTGGCACGAAGGGGCAAAAGTAACACGTGGCTGTAAATTCTTGTATTAACCTGTATATATATTATATAAATTCAGTCCCAACATATCCACTTGGCTCGTTAGCGAGATTAAACTGAGAATAATAGTTAGAAATTAACCAATATTGCCAAGACGCGAACCTATCGGAAAAAAATTCAAACTTGTTTATAACCTACAAAACGTAAAACTTTTTCCCAACATCCCTGCCATTGAAGAACTTTAGATGGAGGTTCAGATTTCAAATATTTTTCTTTTTTAATAAGGTAGTTCAAGTTGGGTGGGGGAATCCAATATGGCTGCTCTCAGCTGTTTTACTGGAGGACAAGCAAACCGCTGTCTCTGTACATTTTTCACTGAATTTGAAATATTTTCTTATTAATTTATTTTTTATGCAATACAGAAATAATTAAATGGTTTTATTTTGCTGTATTGTTGGATGTGGAATGCGAGGAGACAGGGATGAAACTTCCTTTTTTAGAATTCCTGCAGTAATAAGCGTCAACAACAGAAAATATAAAACTACTTATTGCAATCCTTTCAATCCTTTGTCGCGGGTAGAAAGTGATTTAACAAAAAGTGGCGATGAATTCATTAAATTATCGAAAAGAAGACAGGAAAAGTGGGTAAATGCAATAAAGCGGGGAAAATTGACTGCTTCCCAATTAAAAATATTCCGAGTATGTTCTAAACATTTTATGACAGGTAAGTAGGTTATGTTTTCCTTTTGTTTATGTCGATTGGGTACCATGTCAAAATCTTGGATATGAGAAGGGAGTTTCTATTAAAAATAGAACGGATCTTGATAAGTATCACCGTTCCGAAAAAAGGGTATTTGTAGCAAAAATAATAATAATAATTTCAATTAAACTTATTATCTAATTATTATGAAAGGTACCCAGTAAGAAGAGGTTAATTGATACGAATGAAAATGAAGCAGAAGCTGGTATCAATTAACCTCTTCTTACTGGGTACCCTTCATAATAATTAGATAATAAGTTTAATTGAAATTATTATTATTATTTTTGCTACAAATACCCTTTTTTCGGAACGGTGATACTTATCAAGATCCGTTCTATTTTTAATAGAAACTCCCTTCTCATACCCAAGATTTTGACATGGTGCCCAATCTGGATCAGTATAATTGTTTATGTCAGCAGGGCGTCCTATATAAAATGTAATTTCTATTATGCATGCATTTATATGTTTCAGATATTAATATTTTAAAAATATAATAAATAAATTATATTAATTAATGGTTAATTGAATGAATTAATAATAAGAAAAGTGCACAATATTGTTATGCATAATCGACATAAACAAAAGGAAAACATAACCTACTTACCTGTCATAAAATGTTTAGAACATACTCGGAATATTTTTAATTGGGAAGCAGTCAATTTTCCCCGCTTTATTGCATTTACCCACTTTTCCTGTCTTCTTTTCGATAATTTAATGAATTCATCGCCACTTTTTGTTAAATCACTTTCTACCCGCGACAAAGGATTGAAAGGATTGCAATAAGTAGTTTTATATTTTCTGTTGTTGACGCTTATTACTGCAGGAGTTCTAAAAAAGGAAGTTTCAACCCTGTCTCCTCGCATTCCACATCCAACAATACAGCAAAATAAAACCATTTTATTATTCCTGTATTGCATAAAAAATAAATTATTAAGAAAATATTTTAAATTCAGTGAAAAATATACAGTGACAGCGGTTTGCTTGTCCTCCAGTAAAACAGCTGAGAGCAGCCATATTGGATTCCCCCACCCAACTTGAAGTACCTTATAACAGTTCATTAGGTGTAGGTCTATAGAATAAGAAGGCGACGTTAAAGTTAAATTAACGAACTTGTCGTCAGGTGGCGACACCAAAAAAAAAGAAAACGCGCGAAGTACAAATTTTGAAAAGAAATAAAAAAAATTGCAATGTATTTTTAGTTTTTATTGTTGAATTTCCATTTAAAACATAATAAATTAAAATAATTAAAAAATAATATTTAATAAATTTAATAAAATTAAATATTATAAAAAAGTTTATTATTTTTGTTAATTTGAAACAAATAATTTCAACTTTCTTGTTTCTAATCGCAAGACAAAAAAAAGCTAAGAAAGTTTACAGTAAATAAATTACAAAAGATGAATAAAGTAAATATACAAAAAAAATTAAAATATGAATAGAAATACGACAATTAGGAAAAATGAAAAAAATAAAACTATATTTAATAAAGTAGATAAATAAGCTTAACAAGTAGATTTAAATGTAAATTTTTACTTACTGCAACCATACATAAATTCTATGCTCAGAGAAATTTTTTATTTGAAACAAATACAAAATATTGAATTGGAAAAAAATATATTTATCTCAGAGTTAAATAAACTTTATATTGTAAATAAAATTTTTTTTTTTGGTACAAGTAAAATATTTTATTTGCGTAAAATAAAAAAATTTTTGCACTAAATAACAAATTATTTGCACTAAATAAAATTTTATTTGAAATTAAATAAATATCATTTGAAAGAAATAAAATATTTATTCAGCTCTGAGATAAAAATATTTTTTTTTTACGTGTATATATATATATATATTAACCTAAATAATAATTAGTGTTCCACAATTGACAACATATATAACGAAATCCTGTAAATGGATCATAATAAGGACATTCGCCAGGATAATATCCAATGTCAATTTGTGGAAATGGACATCTAGTGGTACAGAATCCTCTGAGAAAATTGCATCCTCGAATAATACCAGTAGATGATCCGTAATTTACTACTAAATAAATTAAAAACAAATCTTTTATTGTAAAATAATGTTTTGAAAAAAAATATAGTATTTTCACTGAAAATATAAATAATTACTAAAATGTTGAAATAAAATTTTCTTACTTGCAACGACAGTTGTTGTAATGAATAACAGAAATAAGAAAGAAAAGAGTAATAAATTTGAAACTTTTGGCATTCTTCTTTGGAATCGAAAGACAAGAAAAAAATATTAAGCTCTTTACTCTACTAACATATTTTCTGTTCTACTGAATCTCAATAACAATGTAACTTTTTTATAATTCGAAAACTTATTTTAAATTTTTATTATTATTTCCTTTTATATAACATTTTTAACTGCTTTCTTCCGCTGTAACTATATAATTGTTAACATATAATAACTAATAGTTTAACTAAAATATATGGCGTTTTTTTATATTCAAAAAATAAAAATAATTCTATAAATAAAAAATTCGTAAATATAGAAAAATACTGTTACAAATAAAAATTATATTAAAATTTAAAGTCTCTGTCTTAATTAAGAATTCAGTTAAATCAAAATTCTTTGGTATCTACGACAATTTTATATAATAACACTGTTTGACATATATAGTTAAAATATAGGTATAATAAATTTAACTAATTTTAGAATCAAATATTAATTTTTACTTACAACTTTACACAAAAAAAAACTTATATTATCCTATGTAATTACTCCAATATTGACAACATATGTAACGTAATCCTGTTGTTGGATCATAATAAGGACATTCGCCAGGATAATATCCAATGTCAGTTTGTGGATATACACAGCTTGTGGTACAGAATCCTCTAAAAAAATTGCATCCTCGAAGAGCAGTATAATATTGTGCATTTACTGAAAAAAAAATAAAAAACAAGCATGATTGTAAAATAACTTTCTGTCAAAAAAAAAAAAATTATTATCAAAACCATTACATTTTTAAAATAATAAAACTTATAGTTTTATTACAATTCCTAATACTTGTACAGAAAATAAAAACAACTGGGCCTGATGGCTTGAGAATAATTTTGAAAAATCTTGCAGGCTTGGGGGATCGACCCCAGAACCCTTAGGACGCGAGCCATGTACTCTGGCCACACACAGCCACATTAACTTACAGATCTTCTACTTTTTTTTCTTTTTTTAACAACAGGATATAAAATATAATACGAACTACATCCTATTTGAGGTTTTTCTCGGAAATTCTGGTCACATCCCTATAATAAAAAATTATTAAACCACATGTATAAAATCTTCCCCTTTAATTGCTAATAAGTTTTGTTACAAAAAGTTATTTCAAAAATTTTAATTTATTTAAATTTTTTTAAACTATTAAAACTATTAAGGCTCTAACCAAAGCCCTCTTTTGAATCCAGTGAATAGTTTATTTGGAGTTTCAGCCGGAAATTCTAGTGATTGTATATTTAAAAGATAAATGCCAACTCTGAAATATATAGTATGTTAAAGCAATACGCATCAAATACTTAAAACTTATTTTTTGTACTAAATAATAAATGACAACTCTGCAATATATAGTGTAGGAAAGCAATACGCACTAAATACTTTAAAACTTATTATTTTTATTAAATGATATATGCCAACTCTGTCATATGGCATATGTAAAAGCAATACGCATCAAAAAACACTTTAAAACTTATTATTAGTATTAAAATGATAAATGCTAACTCTAAAATAATGTATAGAAAAGCAATACGCATCAAATTCTCTATAATGAACTTATAAATAAGCAATGCGCACCAAATACTTTAAATCTTATTATTTGTACTAAAAGACAAATAACAACTCTGACATATAGTATGTAAAAGCAATACGCACCAATAATATTGAAAAATATATTAATAATTTTAAATAAAATGAAAAAAAAAATTTCAATTTTTTTTTTTTGATCTTTATTGAAATGCTATATATTTAAAAGATTTCTTGTATATGAATAAATGTAAATGACCATTAATCGCGATACACTTTTTTTGATGATTCGGATCCTTGTAAGCACAGCATTGTCACGAGTCGGTGTCTAAGAACGAATTATCACTAATCGTTAAAATAAAATTTTCTCACTTGTAACAATATTTGTGGTCATATATAATAGAAACAAGAAGAAAATAAGTTGATTTGAAGTCATCAGCATTCTTATTTGGAATTAAATGACAAAAAATTGTGAATTCCTTTACACTTATTTACATTGACATGTTTTATTTTGTTTCACTGCATTTAAAGAACGACATGACTATTTATACTTCCAAAAACTCAATTATTTTGCGTTTCTTTTTAAATTGTTATTATTATTTTTCTTTTATATAACATTTTTAACTGCTTTCTTCCGTTGCAACTATATAATTTTCAACTTACAATAATTAGTAGAGTAGGTAAAATAAATTGGAATTTTTATTTTTAAAATATAAAAATAAAAATGCATCATGTTCAGCTATTTATTAACAATAGTTCAAGGCAAGTAAAAAAATTGTTTGATATAAAAAAAGAAACTGAAAGTAATGGAAAACTATAGGTAGAAGTTATATGTGAAATTCAAAATGGCGATTTCAATATGGCGGACGAATGTGGAATTTTTAAAAATTAATCCTACACAATTTTTCTAAATTAATTATCTCATGTTATCATTTTGATTTCGAATTTCAAAAATCTGATTTCATTTTTGTATTTAGCGACCCTAAAACCCTACTGAGTATCAAATTTTAAGCGAATACAATTGAAATTTTGTTGTTGTCCGCCATGCTGTTTATGCCATTTTGAATTTTGAAAAACTGACACTGAATTCATAAAAGACGATCCCAAAAAATATTATGTAAATATTTAAGAGAATTATTTGTGAAAATTTTTAAGTAATATTAGGTAACTCAAAAGTAAATAGGCTTAAATAAAGTAGATAAACAAAATTTTAGTTTCAAATGTAAATTTTTACTTACAAATATAGTACATAAATCCTATATATTATCCTAAATTAGTATTTCTAAATTGACAACATATATAACGTAATCCTGTTCTTATATCATAAGAAGGACATTCGCCAGGAAAATATCCAATGTCAAGTCGTGGAAATCCACAGCTTGTTGAACAGTATCCTCTACGATAGTTGCATCCTCGAACAATAATAATAGTAGATGGGGCTGCAGGTTTTATAAATACTAAATAAAAGAAAAATAATCATAATTACAAAACAATGTGTGACGTTCCAGGAGAGAAAGAACCTTACGTCAGAAAAAAAATTTAGATTATGTTTAGTGATAGTTTTATCTTGATAAAAAATTTTTTTTTCAATTAGATAAAATCTAAATTAGTTTTTATTGAATTTTTTGAATGTTATAAAGACTTAAACATAAATGTTTTGTTTCAAGAATTAATTCTCTCAGGGAATTTTCGCTTTAAAAATCATAAACATAACCTACAATTTTTTTGACCTAAGGTCGCTTCTCTCGTGGATCGTCACATACAGTATATATGCACTTGTATATATATAAGAGTAAAAAAAATTTTTATAAATAAATCATTAAATTAATAAAAAATACTTAATAATAAAAATTAATTACTCTTAGTTTACTAAGAATTTATAAATTAATTATTATTAATGTACACACATATATAATTTAAATAAGATTTGCTTACT